TTTCCCTCGCTTCTCCCCCCCCCCCCCCCACAGGCCATGATGCGCGAGCTCAGCACCCTGGGCAACGCCGACGCAGACGAGGACATGCCCGCTGCTGAAGCGGCTCCGGGGAGGCACCTAGATTTGCTCCGCATTATGGAGCGGCTGCCACCAGACTTTCGTAGCGCATGGCCCTTTTGGGAGTACTTGGCTGAGCGGCTTCTCCTGGCCCACCAGCAAGTCCATCGCTTTCTCAGCGGCGGCTCGAGGCGCCACGCTCTCTTACTGTCTCCTACCGCTGTGTACCAGCCTGCCTCGGTACCCCAATGGCAAGCTACATGGCAGCTCGAGAGCGGGCCGCCTGCTTTGCCACACGCCCGCGCTACAGTAGGCCCCGAGCTCCACATGGACTTACCCGATGTCGCTAATCACACAATCGAGCGGTGGTATGGGCGTTGGTGCGAGGCCAACTCTCCCAACTTACTCCACATTTATCCTCATCGCGCAGCGGGTGAAGGCCCCTATGCTGCCCGTTTCTCACCCGCTATAGGTTTGGTCACTGTCTACGTGCCCGACCAGATTTTTCTGGACCTCCTCCACACGGGGGCCTGGGAACAGCCTGCTCTCATCCCTCAACGTCTTTTGGAGGATGCAGCGGCTGGCAGCCCCATCCTAATAGACTTCCAGGCCATGATCCTGGTGCGGCCATTTTGCCTTCCGTTGTCCTACCTCTCTCGAATCCTCCGCCTCCCTGAACCATAGCCCCTCAGGCCATGCCGACCCCAGATGCGCAGCACCTGCCGCAGTTCGAGCACGGCGACGTCCGCTGCGCCCCCACTGAGGCCGTGCCACCACCGCCTACAGTCGTACAGTGGCTGGTAGTGATTACGGCAGGTCATATTCCGCTCTGGTCTCCACTGCCCATCAATGTAGGGCTCCTAATGGAGCAATTTCACGGGCAGGAGACCCGGCTGCCATCCTCTGTGGAGAGGCCGCGCTTTTTTCACCTCCCCATTCTTCAGGAGATCGATGCACGGCCCATTTTATTCGGCACGGGCATACCTTTTCGCACCGGCCTTTCGCTGCGGGTCAACATGCCCAGCGGAACCATCCTCATCCCTATCGACTCAGCACCGGGCCAAGCATGCATCAGTCGGCCCATTAGGAGGGTCCTCCTCACCCAGGCGCACGCATAAACCAGCTAGGTTTCACTCATATCTGGCCGTTGGCTTATGGGCTATTTCTTTTCGCTCCCTCCGCACCCCCCCTTCTCTCAGCGCGCGCAACGCAGCCATGGTTCCTGCGGGCGGGCGCGCTTCGGCGGCGACGGAGGGGGCCGCGCCCCCGCAGGGGGCCGCGGCCGAGCCCGGCAGGGCGCCGCCCAACGCGCTGGAGCTCTTCGGCCTATCAGGCGATACGCAGTCTGGCTCGGCATGGCAGGGCTCCCAGTACACGGCCGCCACCAGAGAGTTCAAAAAATGGTGGCCAGCTACGTACCCTGGCGAGTGGAAGATGCCAAATGGCATGCTCTACCCGTTCGTGTGGAAGCTCAAGTCGCTCGACGTCATCGATGGCCAGGTCGTCGAAACTTGGGACTGGGAGTGGATAGAGGCCCCAGGCTTGGCGACCATCTCAGAGGTCGAGACCATGCTGCTGGACCACTTCAACCAGCAGCAGGCCGCCGCGCAGGAGGCCCAGGCGCGAGCGGCGGCGTCTGCGGCCGCGCGGCAGCCGCGCGGTGCCTGAGCGGGCCTTAGAGCGTGCTGCCTCCCAGTCGGCGCCATCCCAGGTCGACACGGGCGACCTCGGCGCAACTAATAGTGCGCCCTCATAGGTGGTGGGCTAGCCTAATACTCTAGTCTCTGTTCACCTCGGCAGCCCACCACCTAGACAGCCCTAGCCAGCCACACGAGCCGAATATTTACAGCTGGAGAGCCGTGCTGCTCCAATTTAAGGTCGGCTGAGCCGTCCTGCAATCCCGTCGCAGCGGGCCCTTCAGTTCTTTCATCATTCAGCCCCATTCCAAGGGCCCGCTGCAAGAGTCGTAGCCAGCACCAGTCTCCAGCTTCACACCTCTCTGCCGCACTAGTGCAGCCAACGCGACACTTATAAGTAGCCCCGCTACCAGAAGAGCGGTCGGCTAATGCTCACAGCTCAATTCGCAGACTCGCCATGGCTGAGTCTTCATAGGTGGTGGGCTAGCCTAATACCCTAGTCTCTGTCTACCTCGGCAGCCCACCACCTAGATAGCCCTAGCCAGCCACACGAGCCGAATATTTACAGCTGGAGAGCCGTGCTGCTCCAATTTAAGGTCGGCTGAGCCGTCCTGCAATCCCGTCGCAGCGGGCCCTTCAGTTCTTTATCTTCAACCCCATCCCAAGGGCCAGCTGCAAGAGCTGTAGCCAGCACCAGTCTCTAGCTTCACACCTTTCTGCCGCAACATTGCGGCCAGGCCAACGCGACACTTTTAAGCAGCCACGCTACCAGAAGAGCGGTCGGCTCAATGCTCACAGCGCAATTCGCAGACTCGCCACGGCTGAGTCGAGGCTGCGGCAAGCAAGGATGCTGCCTCAGCACATCCCACCTGCCGAGTAACTCTCGGCGAACGCTGCCCATCAGAGGTGCGCACCTCTACGGACAGCTACCGCGCCCTAGTGCTGCTTGGCTGGGCAAGATACTCCCTCTCCTTCCCCTGAGTTCATCCCTCCCCTCTTACCACGTTAACACTAAGACGCCAAGTACAGCACAGGCGCCCTCTCACCTGCCCCCCTTTCCGGTCACGTGCGTTACCGATGGGGCTTCCTAGTCTCTTGGCGGCAATGCCAGCCTCTCCCTCCTGGTCCGCTCCGTCACGGCCGCCCTACAGCGCGGCACTGCCATTTTGGCCCTCTTCCTACTCATCCCGCTCATTTCCATGGCTAAGCCATGCTCCCAGGTGGCCGTTCCTGAGGCCAGCTTTGCTGCTCTTCGGTCGTTCAGCGCTGCCCGCATAGGGCAACGCCTAGATGGCGCGCTCAGTGACTCTCGCACGGCACCGATCCCTTCTCTTCATATTATTCCCCCTCCCTCCCCTTCGGTGCCAATACCTCCCCCGCCCATCATGCAGGTCCAATGGCGAAGAATCGCTTTTGCCTGCGGACGGACCAGGAGCGGAGATCCTTTGTTGTGCCCGCTAGGCGGGCTCTGTCTGCCGCCTGGCCGACCTGCGGCCGCCCCGCTCAAGCTACTTGCAACGAGCAAGTGCAGTCAAAAGCCTCCCCCCTCCCTCCCCCTCCCCCTCCCCCTCCCCCTCCTCCTCCTCCTCCTCCTGCTCCTCCTCCTCCTCCTCCTCCTCCTTCTGCTCCTCCTCCTCCTCCTCCTCCTCCTCCTCCTCCTCCTCCTCCTCCTCCTTCTGCTCCTCCTGTCCACCTCCTCGTCCGGCCGCCTCCTCTGCCTCTACCCCCAACCCCCTTCCTGCACGGTGGCACGCTCCGCTGCAGCGGCACCCCCCGTGTGGGTGGCCCTCCGCCGGCGCAGTTGCCCAGCCTGGCCGCCGACGCAAAAGTGTCCAGGGTCGCGTGACTCTGCGCGTCGCGCGCGCCACTGGCCATCGCTCGGACGCCCATTCCCTGTGCTTTTTTCGGTTTCGTGCGTGGTTTTTCCCACCAAATGATCAAGGATGCTCCTCGATGGTCCTCGCCGAAGAAAAAATGCACACGTCCGAGCGATCAGGATCATCCCAGCGCTCTCTCGCGCAGACCCCCGTGGACAGTGGCAGATCTCCGGCCCGGACCGCGCAGCCCAACGAGTGGCTCCCTTCGCGCCCCTGTGGCAGCCCGGCTCTCGCTGTCGCAAGTCCTGCTGCCGCTGCTGCTGCTTCGCTCCTCCTCGCTGCGCTTCTGAAGGGGAACTGAGACACACAAATAAATACACACAAATAAACATATCCCCCATATTTTCCCATATTTTCTCGGTTTCTGTCTTCCCCCCCACTTCCCATATTTTCCCATATTTTCCTGGGGATCGACGATTAATTGTGTCTGTGTTTTTTTTTCCCCCTCCTGCGTTTCCTCCTCCCGCTTGCTGCTCGTCCTGCCGCTCCTCGCCACTCGCATCTCTTCCCTCCGAGCAAAAAAGCACGAGCGCATCGCTGCACGGACGGAGATGCCTTGCGCTGCTGCGCTGCGCTGGGCTCCGCTGCCATGGGGACTCCACCGACACACTTCGCTGACTGGCCGCGCTGCACCAGTAGGATGACTACCTACCAGACCACCCCAACCCAACCCGAAGACCCGAATTTCGGTTTGGGGGGGTTAAGGGTTCCACATGTGTTTTTTCTATGTTTTCCGACCCCCCCCCACTAGAAATCGAGGGTAAATCTGAACCTTCGGGTTGGGTTGGGGTGGTTTGGTGGGTGGTGATAGGAAGAACAAGACCACATAAGAATCAGCTTTCGACGGTCCGCGCGGATTTCTCGGACTTGCGCCGGGCCGGACGGCGCCGGAGGCGCCGCCAGGGGGGCCCAGCGCGGATCCAAGAAATCCGCGCGGAGCGCCAACAAGTTTATGGTTGTAGTGTTTTTTCTTCTTCGAATTGCGCCAAATGCTCGACAGCAGCACGCCAGCAGTGCGAAACTGCGCAGATGCTTGGCAGCATCAAGCGCATGGCAGCACGCAAGCATGCATAGCAGACTAGCGCAATGCACTCGCGCAGCCCGAGTTGCGCCACGTACTCCTGGGAGCGTCTTGGAAAGCGTCGGCCACGGCGGCGTCTCCAGGAACTACTTACTCCAAGAATAACGAGTCAGCGCGGTGTCTTGGCTCGGTACCTCGGAGACGGCGCCACGCTGCCATGTCTCGAAGGCGGCGCTGCGCGTCTGTTGGGGGGGAGGGGAGGGGCAATGCTGACGACACCTCATTAACGCGGCACGGAGATTCGGCAGAGAGGGGGAACATGGGGATATAGGAATATAGGAGGCAGGGAGGGAGGCACCGCACATTGAGAAGGACACAGACAACCGCGATTTCTTGTTCCCGCCCCTCCGTCTGCGTTGATCTGACCAGGGTTGCATCGCACGATGATGCCATCAAACTTCTTGAGGACCTGGCGAAACTGTGCATCTACATCGGGATACTAGGATATGAAGGAGGTCTGCTCACTGTCAACAAGATCTGCGCTAGGATGCCAAACACAACGATCAGAATCTGCACTTGACAACGAGCCGCTCAATGCCGCGTACCCCTTATGTGACAGAACACTAGCACTTCGCCTACAGAAGCATATTGACAAAGGCATAACTTGGGGGCGGCAGAGAAAATCTGTCAATGGGTGGAATGCGGGCAAAATCGCTCAAGAACTGTCCCCAGATTCCTCTCGAGGTCGAAGATAGCACGTTGCTCGAGCAACGCCCCGCCGTGATAACGAGGGGGACCCTTCTCTCCCCTGTCTGCTGGCCAAAACCTGCATGTACTGGGCCAACTCAGCCCCCCAGCTGGTTCCAAGTCAGAAAGTGGCATGGCACCGATCGTTACATAGCAAGACGGTGTGGTGTGTACAACTCGTACAACCAAACAACATAAACGTGTACACTAAACGTGTACCTCAAAGAATGCGTCGTGCTCCTCGTGGACGTAGTGCAGGAGCTGGCAACTCATGCCAGCATCGATCATCCCGTTCGCAAACGGGATGCTATCGTAACGATGGCCTGGAGAGGGGAGCGCCGAAGACGATGTGAAGGATTGCAAAAGTATTCTAGGAAGAACCAGCTACATGCGCATAAGCTTTCGGAGCTCCGCGCATGGATTCCTTGGCGCGCGGAGAGCGCCAGGGGCGGCTCCAGAGGCGCCACCAGCGGGGCTCAACGCAGATCCAAGAAATCCGCGCGCAGTTTCGAAAGCTTACGTACGTTTATGCAGTTCTCTTACTCTTCGAGTGACGATCGACGCTGACATGGAGCATGACGGAGAGCAGATAGCACATCCAGAGCGCAGATCGCTCGATGACGGCCGATCGGCAGACTCCAACCTTGATTGCCCGCACTCGTGGACAGGAAAACGCCATCATCGGAGGTCCGCGCAGATTTCTTGGATCTGCGCTGGACCCCGTGGCACGCGGAGCGCGCCAAGGGCGGCGCCGGAGGCTCCACCAGGGAGGCTCCAGTGCCGAGCCGAGAGATCCGCGCGGACCGCCGGAAGCTTCTGTTCTTGCTCACGTCATGATGCGCTCACCGACGTGCAGCATGGGTATGGACCGCTCGCGATCGCGCGAGTGCCAGCGTGTAAGGGGGGGGGTCCAGGCCCACCCCCTCCTCCGACCCTCCTCCTGCAGGAGAGCCCATAATCGAATCGATAAATCGGATCGGCAATCGACATGAATCGGAACGGCGAAAAATCGGCAGCCGAATCGAGAAAAGTCGAATCGGCGGAAATCGGCAGGCCAATATGCCTCCAATAAGAAATCGGAATCCAAATCGGAAGCCCAAGTCGAACCGAATCGGAATCGGAACCCATCGAAGTCGAATCGAATCGAATCGGAGGAATCGAAACGAGCCCTGCTCCTACGTCGATCCAAGAGAAATCCGGGAGAAACTCCGAGAATCCAGGTTCGCTGTCTTTGCTGCTCTTCGAGCTGAGGCCTCCGCCGCGCCGACGCGGCACACTCCCACCGTATCCTGGCGGCGCGCACGAGGGGGGTGTGGGGGGAGGGGGGGGGGCAGGCTTCTTCAAAGAGAGAGGCTGCTTCTCAGGAGGCGCCGGCCTTGCGTCCGCAGATGAGGCCCACGCCTTCTAAGAAGCAGGGATTCTTCCGAGAAGGCTTCCCCAGAAGAAAAACAACTGCATAAACACAAGCTTTTGGCGCTCCGCGCGGATCTCTTGGACCCGCGCTGGACACCCCTCCCTGGCGCGCGGAGCGCCCCAGGGACGGCGCCGGACGCGGATGCAAGAAATCCGCGCGGAGCGCCAAGTGTTTACGCGTATGCCGTTTTTTCTCATCATTCGCTTCTTCCAAGAAGCCTCCCCCGAACATCCCTCCTGCGCGTGGCCGAGTAGCCCCCGCGCCCACGCGGCGCACACCCGGGCAGAGCGCACCCGGGCCGCCAAGGCCGCGAGGAACGGCGCCCCCGACGTGTTCCATGTGCTCCTGTGATGCTCGCCTGCCCCTCCGCGTCCCCTACGGCAGGTTCGTGTCGTGCCGACCCCAGCGTTGGTTTTTGACACCGCAGGGATCATTCAACCTTGAACGATCGGCCGCTGCCGCAACGTCCGATCGTTCAACATCGATCGATTCTGGGTCGCCGGCGGCGTTCAACCTTGAACGCCCGCGCTGGGGTCGCCGCTGGTCGACACGACGCAAACCTACCGTATGCTCCTTTCTGTGTCCGGAGGATCGACGATTCTTGGTGTCTGTCGAGTCGTCCCTCCGAATTCTGGGGACCGGCTCTTTGCTTTGTCTCGGGCCACCGTTGGGCGGCGCGCCTGGGGGGGGATGGTGAGGCGGGGCAAGCCATCGCCAAGGCGGCGGGGGCTTCTCAGAAGCCCTCCAGCCTTCTGAGAAGCCGTCTGCGTCTTCCAGGGGAACACACAGTGACATAAACATAAGTACACCTGAGAGAACCCAATCAGTGGAAGGTTTTGAAAATTGATACTATAAATCTTGAGATCGATTGTGAGATCGATAATAAACTCGATAGTGTAATCGACATTGAGGACGATTGTAAGGTCGATCGTGAGACTGAGAGTGAAATCGATTCAATGAGATCGATAATGAAATTGATCGCGAGAACGCTCATCCGATCTCTAGTGAGATCGCTTGTGAGATTGATAGTGAGATCGATTGTGAGATCGATGGTCAGATCGATCGAGAATCGGTAATGAGATCAATGGTGAGAACGATCGATAAGAAGATCGACCAAGAACCCGGGAACCCGGGAACCCAGGAACCCGGAACTGGGAACCTGGGAACCCGGGAACCCAGCCTGCCACCAAAATCGGCGGGAAACTTTCGCCTAATCCTTCAACTTCCGCTAGGACCCCTTCAGTGCAAGCACTGATTGGGGAACAACTAGGAGGTCCGCGCGGATCTTTCGGATCGAGGCTGTCCCAGCGCGCGCGGAGCGCGCCACCGCCTGGGGGAACCAGCGCCAACCCGAGGAATCCGTGCGCACCGCCGAATTTTTATGCTTATGGCATTGCCTTCCCCGGAGAGCAGGCTCAGACAACTTCTCAGAACACATCGTGTTCTGAGGAAACCCGCCCCCTCAGGCTTCCCCCGCGGGCTCGTCGCCGTTATTCCTCTTCCTATATTTTTGCAAGCCCGGGGGGGGGGGGAAAACCATCCCCCCCCCAAAAAAAAACTGGACCCCCGGGATCTGGGGTTCTCGGGCTCCCTTGGACGTCCTTGGAAAAGGTCACCCGGCTTTCTGGGTCTCCACAAACGCCGTGCCAGCAGACCCAGAGCGATCCGAGGGGTCATCAGAAAGGCTAAAGGGCGGCCCCAGGCAGCACGAGAGCGCTCCAAGAGGGACTCCAATTGCGTCAGGACGGCCCAAAAGACCCCCAAGGCACCCCAAAAAGCTTCCCAAGGGGCCTTCAAAACACAAAAATCGTCCCATTCCCTTCGTACAACTTACAATTTTAGCATATTCGCCTTTCAGATTTCATCAGCTTTCAAGACGGTTTCAAAGCCCCCGAGATCGCCTCCAGACGCCCCAAAATGCCCGCAATAAAGCTTCCAGACGGCCGAGCCGGGCCCCACGATCGCCCACGAGAGCCCAAGACAGCCCATAATGGAACCAAGAGGCCTCCCAAGGGCTCCCAGCATAGACCCAAAAGGGCCATGGGAGGTCCCCGGAAGTGCCCAAGATGGGTCCAAAGGGGGCTCCAGCGGGCCCAAGCGCCCCAAGACGGCCCAAGAAGGCCTTGGACGGCCTATGAAGGCGCCAAAGCGGCCCACGAGGGCTCCGAAAACACCCCCACGATGTTTCCGAATGCCAACATAAAGACCCCTGAGGCACCCCAAAAAGCTTTCCAAGGGGCCTTCAAAGCACAAAAATCGTCCCATTCCTTTCGTGACACTTACAATTTTAGCAGATTCGCCTTTCGGATTCCATCAGCTTTCAAAACGGTTTCAAAGCCCCCGAGATCGCCTCCAGACGCCCCAAAAGGCCCCCCAAAAACCTTCAAGACGGCCGAGCCGGGCCCCACGATCGCCCACGAGAGCCCCAAGACAGCCCATAATGGAACCAAGAGGCCCCCCAAGGGCTCCCAGCACAGACCCAAAAGGGCCATGGGAGGTCCCCGGAAGTGCCCAAGATGGGTCCAAAGGGGGCTCCAGCGGGTCCAAGCTCCCCAAGACGGCCCAAGAAGGCCCCAGGACGGCCCATGAAGGCGCCAAAGCGGCCCACGAGGGCTCCGAAAACACCCCCACGATGTTTCCGAATGCCAACATAAAGACCCCTGAGGCACCCCAAAAAGCTTTCCAAGGGGCCCTCAAAGTACAAAAATCGTCCCATTCGCTTCGTAAAACTTACAATTTTAGCAGATTCGCCTTTCAGATTTCATCAGCTTTCAAGACGGTTTCAAAGTCCCCGAGATCGCCTCCAGACGCTCCAAGAGGCTCCCTAGAAAGCTTCAAGACGGCCGAGCCGGGCCCCACGATCGCCCACGAGAGCCCCAAGACACGCCCATAATGGAACCAAAACGGCCGGGGGAGGTCCCCGGAAGTGCCCGAGATAGGTCCAAAGGGGGCTCCAGCGGGCCCAAGCACCCCAAGACGGCCCACGAAGGCCCTAGGACGGCCCACGAAGGCGCCAAAACGGCCCACGAGGGCCTCGAAAACACCCCCACGATGTTTCCGAATGCCAGCATTCATTGATTTTGCTCCCATGACATTTCACATCGTGACCCAGTCGTTGAGGGTCTCGTGGCATGCAGCGAAGATGCCCGAGGATACCCCGTACGAGTTGCATATACATCTTCATACCCTTACACACATAACATTATATTTACATATGTACGCTGTATATACATACAACAATGAAACGTAAACATTTATACGGAACGTGCATGCACGCGCACGTGTATACATGCAGGCGCGCATGTTCGCACGCACGCATTCCGCTTGCGTGCAGAACTCAAAGGACCAAGGTGCATGGCACGCAGCGCCCATGCAGTCTTGTGTGTATATATACATATACATACATATACATATATGGACGGCCCTGGGGCCCTATGCTGGACCCTGGAGGCCCAATCTTAAACCAAAGCCTGCTGGCGTGAATTGCGGCGCGACGCCCCCGATGGAGTCCTCGGTCTTGGGCGCGTGGCACGAAAAGGCTTCGCCCAAAATGCGCTCAAGATCGATCGCCAGTGCAAGGCTGGGGTTTATACATGTCCGCCGCCAGCGAACGGATCTCTCGGGATCCCCGAGGGCGGCGGATATGGATCCCTGGGGGCCCGAAGATCCGCACGGTGTCAGAAACAGACACCCGTCTATCCGATAGTGCTAACCCGATGGTGCTCCTCGTACAATACTGGCAAACTCTGAACCACTGGCCGAGTCCAACCTTGAACGCCCGCGCCGGGAATGCCGCCGCACCGACACGGCACCGACACCGCAGGCCGCCTGACTCGCGCCTCGCGCCTCGCGCTGAGCAACGCGCAATCCTCTCCACGACATCGCGCGGCCCCCCTGGTCGGCCGGTGCAAAATTACGCTGAAGGCTGTCCCTCGTTTCCCGGTCGTGCAAAAATGAGCTGTGGAAAAACTCGTGCTGCTCAAGCACTTGCGCTGCTGACTGGGCTGCTGGTCCGACGCCACCGCAAAAGCTACAACATCGTGCGGAATCTCGGAAGGCGCCCTGGCTCCAGTCTTTCTGCTGCGTGCCTCGAGCCGGATCGAGCCGTGAGGGCTCCGGGGCCCGACACAGAAGCAGCGTCGCGGCGGCGGGATCTGATGGGGACTCCGCAGGGGGGCGACGCGCTGGTCCAGGCCGCGGCCCTGCGCGTGGCACGAGCGTGTCCTTTTCGCGCGAAGTAGCTGGTGGTGGGGGGGTGCTTCTCGCCGACTTGTCGCAACCGCGTGGATCGCAGAGGTGGGCGGGGCAACCGCGCGATACGAACGACCAAACAAAGAGAGAGAGAGAGAGAAAGAGAGAGAGAGAGAGAATCAATTATTACTGATCCGCGTGAGCGACCGACATGCGACACGTTGCCGAAGGTTTCCAAGGAGGTGGGAGGCAGCAGGGGCGGCTAGGGCCGTCGCTAGGCCTTGCCAAGGCTGAAGTGTGACGATGTTTGAGGCTCAGATCAATAGAGTTGAATGTACCATGGCGCTCCAAATGTTTTCCCCATACCACTAAATGTGGGACCCCATTCCCCAGTAGAATCCTACATTATGAGGTCGGGCAGCGGCAGAGTAAGTGTCGGCCCATTCCCAATTTCTTTTCAACTATGTTATGCCCATCACCATAAAAAGAACTTATTCCGCACGTGTTCTTATACCGAAAACTTACGCCGACGTCGAGGATGAGCTCACCCCGCTTATCCTTAGGAATCCTTGCTGCAGAAACAATGTACTCCACGTCCTCTAATAAACTTCCTCCGCGCCGTTCGATCACGACGGTGAGCAGTGTCTGTGCTCAGGGGCAAATTGCCTCGTCGCAATATCGCCTGAGGATGCGCTCGCTCCACGCACCTCGACTCACATGCACAACGTGGCAGAATTGTTACAAACAACAGTAACGGGATAGCATGTACAAGCCTCGGGCGCGGTTGGGCACAACAGCTTTCGAACGCTCGCTGTTCCTCAGGTCGTTCCATCGTTGTTCCTATGGCTCTCCTCGTGCACCCAGGCTCTTGGTGCTCAAAACGGGCGTCGTTCCTGATCTCGCGCTCCGTAGTTCAAAAGCCCGACTGTACTTTCGAGCCTCGGGCGCGGCTGCTGTCGCAACTGGGTCGGCCCGCGCGGAGTCGGGTGCGAGGGGACGCGTGACACCGACCGAGATGAAATTATGCAATTCACACCTGAAACACCCGAATTGTTGCCATGCTCCACCCTCGGGCGCGGTTGGGGTTTCTAATGCGAGGCGGCGGGCGGCATCAAACTGCGAGTGTTTTCCGTGCCTCAAGCGGCTGGATTAACATTACGTTCAAGCCTGGGTTTGAATCACAATCGATCGGCCCGTGCGCTTTGGACTACCCGAAACATCTTTGGTCGAACCTGTTGAGACGCCAACCGCGCCCGAGGCTGGAAATAGTGAATTTCTGTGGTTTTGAAGCTGGACAGGTAGCCACAATTCGGTGGCGCGAACACCCTCGCACTCGAGACCGCGGTGGCCGCCCCTGTTGCGACCCCAACCGCGCCCGAGGCTCGACTGCAGTCTCGGCTCGGATGTGTTGGGGGCATGGGAAACTGCCACAGCTCAGCGGCGCAAGTCGCATCGCACTCGAAGTCGCGTTGGACGACGTCCTCGCGATCCCAGCCGCATCCCATGCTCGAAAAGTACACGCGGGTCGGCAGAAGTGGGTCGACACATGAAGTAGGAAGGCGTCGGAAGCAGATTGGGCTTCCACCCGCCCCCTGAAGGGAAGGAAAGAAGGAACACCGCTCGACTCTTGAAGCAGGAAGGCGCCTAAAGTACATTAGGAATTGGGCGTCCAAAAATGCCTACACCACGCGAAATGGTTAAGAAATCATGGGTTAAGAAATTCATGGTCTCAGAACTTGAATAAAAACCCAACATTTCTATCAAAATCTTGGGATTTACATTGAAACGTTAAGAATAATCGAGACTCTGGCCGAAAACTTAAGTTTCCTTAAGCACCGCCTAAGGTGTACTGTCAACGACCGGCGTGCAATGACAACGCGGCCGCCTCAGGCAGCACAGAAGGCCACGCCGCAGCGGCTCGTGCCCCCTCGCGCTCGAGCCTGCGTCTCGGCCGGCCCCGCTGCGACGACGACCGCGCGGGAGGGGCTCGAGAGCAGCCAGGGCGCCCGGTCCGCGCGGGCAGCGCTCGCATCTCGGCGTCGCACGCCCCCATCGCACTCGCAGCCGCGCTGGCCCTGCTGCGACTCCGACGACGCCCAGGGTTTGGTTCGAGCACAGTCCTCAGGGTCGGCTGCCTCACGCATCAGAGACCGGCGCAAGTCGGTGGCGCGCGCCCCTCTCGTGCTCGACGCCGCTGCTGTGTCCGCAAGGCGTGCTCGAGGCTTAACCACATCCCGCTTCGGTGGTCTCGGCACGAGAAGTACACGTCGGTCGGCAGAAGTGGGTAGAAACATGAGGTAGGACGATGGTGAAAGTAGTGTGGGCTTCCGCCCGCCCCCTGAAGACGAGGGTAGAGGGAAGGCCACTCCATTCTTGAAGTAGGAAGGAGCCTAAAATAGATTGGGACTTGGACATCCCTAAATATGTATTTTCAACGACCAGCGTGTAGCCACAACTCGGTGACGGACGCACACCAGAAACAATGGCAGGTTGCAGGTCCGACTCGTCAAACTAGCCCCGCCGCCAGGAGTTGCCACATGGCGACGGTCCAAGCGAACCGAGCAACAGACAGTCGACCCGTGGAATAAAGACCTGCGATAACTGGCCATCGCTTGGAGGTCCATTCACCGTGCATGTTTCGGTTTCGTGCGTGTTTCTGCTGCTCGATGATCCAGGATGCTCCACGATGATCCTCGCAGAGAAGGCATGCACACGCCCGAGCGATGCCAGGGATAAGGATGCAAGGGCCTTGGAAGGCCATGTCGACCCTTTGCGGACGGGGCGCGACCAGCGAAAGCGGTGAAGCATGGGCCGAAGGGGGAGGATGCAAGGGCAACCTTGGAAAGCTGCTCATCCTTACAATGCGGGTTGACTGTACACTAACCAGGCGGCGCACAGGACTGGTGCCGCAGCCCTCGGCATATCACTGCTCAAATGCAGCCGCCGCACGTCATGAGGAGGCAGGGTGCGGATGCAAGACCCTTGGGCGTCCAGGTGTGCGAGGCGGGAAGATGTCCAGACCCACCTCCTGCGGAACCGACGTCCAGGGACCCCAGCGGGCGGTGGACGTGGACACGTTCTGCCCTCCCCACCTCCAGGGCCCGAATGCATCCATGTCCACTGCCTGCCGAGGTTCCCAAGGATCGATCCCCCGGGCGATGGTTTTGGATAAATCCCCGCCTCGGAGCGTGACAACACATTGAAAGGAAATCCTGGGCCCGCTGTTAAGAAGACAAGGATGCAAGATGACCCTGTAATGAGAACCTCCACGCGGCTAACCCCTGAGCGAGGGCAATCTTCCGATGCCGAGAACCCGTCTGTTCCTTCCTGCCCACACCGCGGACCACGTGGGCGGGCGCGGAGGCATCGTCCAGGTGCGGAGGGGAATGCATGAGAGAACGAACGACGTCGACAGCATATTGACGGGAGAGGGACAGGAGGCCGAAATGAAGGGTGGGGCAAAAAATGTAGTCCTCTGTCGGGGAGACGTAAGACTCGGGTAGGGGGGACTCGGGTTGGCCTGACGGGGCCATCATGAAAATGATGAGACCCTATCTGAAATTTGACGCGAACTCCCGCTGCAAACATCCCACGAAAACCAAACCGTCAAAATCCACGACGCGCTCGTCAGAAAACGTCGGCAAACCCGAGATCCGGCTTACTCGAGCCTTACGTTTCCCAGATTCTGATGACAAGGCCCAAAAAGACAAGACGCTCCCCACGACTCATACCCCTGACTTCTCCCAGCCATACCACTGACTCCTCCCAGCCGGCGCGCGCCATTAGAGCTCTTGTCTGAGCCGCCGAACTTCTGGCTCCTGCAGCGGCACAGCGAGTCTGCCCGTGCAAAGCACGATCGCAATGACGCAATACGTGCAACTCCAATGAGGATGCGATGCCCCAGGATGAAATACCGACCTGGCCAATTCACTGCGCCAAGAAGACACGACAATCGGGTGCGAATCCACGCGAGTCCGCCAGCCATCCCGGCACGCGCGTCGCTGCTCGGTCCTTCCTGGCCCGCGCGCCTTGGCGATGGATATCGCAGCCCTGACCGCTCGGTCCAAGGTTGGACCATCGCCGCGATCGATCGTCGTCGCGTCTGCCGCGGCAAAAAAACACTGCAATCCTCGTCGCTGACCTGAGCTCTCCACCGTGTGCCCGCAAAGATGTCTTCGCCGGCAATGCCTTTCGTCTTACTGCGTGTAATGCATATCAGATTCCACATAGCGAGCAGGGTGTAACGACTTGTCGCTCAAGGGGGCGTACCTTTGCCCCCCCGTATGATAGGGCATCATGTGCGATGGGTGTACTTGCCCACATATAGCAATGTGCTGCGGCTTGTCTGGAAATGGTGGGAGACAATTGGACGCTCGGGCGGACAAGAAGATCGGAACGTGACGTTCACATGTTGCCAACAACACTAACACGAGCCCGCGCGCAGGATCTGCAGTGAGACGAGAAGCGATGCTCCGCAGAGAGGGCGCTCCTCACGTAGATCTGCACCAATGCCAAGGAGTACCTCGGCCGCGACGCGGACCACCGGGGGAGCAACAGAGCACCCCCACCCGCACCTGGATATGCTTCTATGCAATGTCCTCCTCCTGGACATTCCCACCGTCGGACGCAGACGCTTCTTGGCCCAACCCCAGAGGCGGAGGGGGGGCCAGAGGTGCGATGCCTTTTCCCCGCCAGAGACAGCGAATCTGGGTGAGCCGTTGTCCTCCCCCAGAGCCGCCTGCGGCAGTTCGGGACTCTTTTGCGACTCTTCGCAAACTTACCAGCCTCGAACGTATCCCTATCCCTAAGATTGACACGCCAAACGGCGACGACAATCTTAGGGATTCGCCCTCAAAACATAGGGAACTCCCAAAGATTGGCATCGTGATGAGGAGGTGCCCTGCAAAGGGATAGGGATATGCTCCAGGCTGGTAGTCTTCGCAAACGCACGTGCCCGCTGAAGATCCCAATCGGAGGTATCCGGCGCTGCCGAGGGGAACACATGTGGAGAGAGCTCTGGTGGGACAGGCCAGGCCCAGACCTCCCGACGTCGCGTCTTGTCCCGACGTGGCCCCATGGGAGGCCAGGCATCCATCGTTCTCTGTGTGGGCCTCGGAGCTCGGCGAGGTCGGGCTCTGCATCTCGAATGCTCCAGATTTCGTAATAAAGGGAGGGGGGTCTCATTTCGGGGAGGGTCTCTTCCAGGCTATCTTGGAGGGCCTGGGGGGGTCTGGGGACGACGTTTGGGAGGGTTCTCCCACGGGGGAGGTCTGAAATGACTTGTCTTGGAGGGTCCAGACCCCCTCCCTTTTATTACGAAATCTGGAGTATGTTGACATTCCTGGGCCACTGGAGCTAGAACATTAGAAACAAACCTCGCGTCGCTTTTTACATCGAGAGAGGTTCTCGGGAGGCAGGATCGAGGCTCGCGGGGAAGAGGGGCCGCGCAGACGTGCCGCTGCTGGCTCCGACCACTGCGCGAGCGCGGCGCGCTCTCCTGGTGGGGCGCTCATGGGAGCCACCTTCGGACCTGATCCGCCCTCTCGTCTGCACCGCACTCCGGCAGAAAATCCTGGTCCGACGCTGCATCTTCCTCCTGACGCCGGCCCACGGGGATCTCGACCCCTTCCCACTGGCCGGCTCTTCACCCCAAGTCATTCTCTGACGGTCTCGGTCAGGGGAACGGCCTTTGGAACTTATTTGGATACAGTCGGGGCCTTGACCTAAGGAACCCAAAATCAGGAACGAGGCCCCTGTTTCCCATAAGATAAACTTCGATTTCCGATCGAAAACATAAGGAGAGCCTGAGGGAAGCTGCGAAACACTTAAGGAACGCGGAGCCCATCCCCAACGAAAAGGGTTCCTTCTTCAGGGCCCCGACTGTAAGTTCGCGAACACGCCCGTGACCAGCCCGCCTCCCGCTTCCCCCCCCCCCATCACGTCACGATTCGCGCTGTCGCCGTTTGTAAATCAACCATTCTTTTGGGCAGGGACCGACCGTCCTGGCATTCCTACAGGTCTACCACGACACGTTCCTCACATCCCAGAAGTGTTCTGAGACCAACAACCATGATCTTAGAACAAAAACCCGATAGGTTGAAGCAAGACAATCTCAGCCAGCAGTGTTCTAAAAACATTTCGCGCAGACCACAACAGGTTCTTGGAACATTCTCGGGTGGGCCTGTAGGCAAGCCAGGACGCGTCGCCACTGCTCGACGATTCGCCACTGCACGAGGACACTGACGACGACGACGACGACGACGACGACGACGACGACGACGACGACGACGACGACGACGACGGCGGCGACGACGACGACGACGACGAAGACGACGGGGATCAGCCATGATTCCTGAGCGTTCCCAGGACGGCGCCGGCGCGCATCGTGAGAGGCACTGGCTCCCTCTTTGGGTGACCCGAAGAGGGGGTCCAGCTGAAGGGGGGTGGTGCAATAGTCTAGGGAGCCCACAAAGGACGTATGCGCACAGCTATGTACATGAACGCGGCCCCTAGATCCGCGAGACCTGCCGCGTTATACGAACATTTGCGCAATGCGTACTCTCGAAACCAACGTGGATTCATGTACGTGTACGTCCTTCTGTCGCTCCTGATAGTCGGGGGTTGCTAGAAAAGGTGCCCCTGGCCCGAGGTACCCCCAGCTTGTCGCTCCACTCTGGAGCCCCTGGGCCCTCTGGGCCTCGTGAGGGGGGCTCTGGAGGCCGCGGCTGCCTCCACGGACATCCTGGGGCCACCTTGGGCCAGGGGCACGTCTAGCAACACCCGAAATAAATTTGGGGCAACTTTATCGGGGATCTGCTGACCCGCGTCAATCCAGACCCGGGTCAGCGAGGCCTTGCAGGATCCTGCAAGATCCTGCCAGATCCTGCACCCAAACCCGGGTCAATGCGTAGGATCCTGCACCCAAGCCCGGCTCAGTGCGCCCCTGGCCCTGCAGGATCCTGCAAGATCGGGCGCTCTGGCTGACCCCCGTTTGCATTGACCCCCGTCGCGAGGCTCCCGACTATATTGCAAATGTACTGCTCCGAAGAATTGCCTTGCATTGTATCGCAAGTAATGTATTGCACGTGAAAATCCAGCAATGCAATGGCGCCCCGGACTGTGCCCAGATGTACTGCAACCTCCCAAATCTATTGCACCCGATCTATTGCACCACCCCCAAGGAATATAACAAATGTCTCCAGAAGGCCGAACAACGAAAACTGCCGTCGCGATCTGCGTTGCGTCGCCTGGAGATGAGGCCCCTCCTTGTGAACGTTTTCTCAGTCGGCCGTTTCGACATTGGGCGGAAGGGAGGGGGTCTGGCTCTGAACCTCTGCTTGATGCGACTGTTTGCAACAGTGCGCCCTGTGGGGGAGGATCCACAGGCTCGAAACAGGCGCCAAAAACAGCCAAGAGCTACTCCATGGGGAGGGGTGGGAGGGGGGGGATGCGAGGGACCGCGCCGATCGGCAAAACAATGCATAAGAGAACGATCACCTACTTCTCATCTTACAAGAACGGCACAAACCTACAGCACGAAGCTTGGACTCCCTACAGGCCCCTCTTCAAAGCGGTACGGTGCACAAATATGTGGCTCTAAAGAGGGCCAAGACACGATGCACCGTACCAATCCGGGGTCGACGACGCCTCCGGAGACGCCAGCGCGGTAGCCAAACCCCCGACATCTTGATTTATCACACCGCCGGCTTCCAAATTTCTCGACCCATTCCTCGGGACCGGTTTTTCATCCTGATTTGTTTTGTAACGATCCCGCAGCGTGGTAAGGGCCCCCAGATGCCGAAACTGGGAACACCTTCCGCCAGGACTCCCCAAAAGTGCTTGCACTCAGGGCTTCTCATACGTTCTCTAACGAACTGGGCTGGTGTGCCGCTTTGGCGGCTGTGTAGTCGCCGTCGCCGCCCCGTCGCCGCCCCGTCGCCGCCTCGTCGCCGGCCAGTGTGCCGCTCTGGCGGCTATGTGGTCGCCGTCGCCGCCCCGTTGCCGCCTCGTCGCCGCCCATCGTGTGGGGGCAGGTGTGCCGCTCTCGCGGCTGTCGCTGTCGCCGTCGCTACCCCGTCGCTTGGCACCCCATGGAGGACCCCCCATCACACACACACACACATTACAAACATATGTTTACATATACTTGTGTGTATGTGTATATATACATGTATATTTACATACACGGCACCACCTAAATTGCAGCACCAACAACAAATCCTCTAAACTGGCCCCCCGCCGCCGAAAAACATCGACATCCCCAGGGATAGTGCAATTTACCTAAATTGTTGCCCCTGCGATCATTTAACATATAACACCTCACCGTCCAAGCGCAACCGGTATCGACATACTCACCCTCAGCCTCGTCAGATAAGATTACGCGCGCGCTCGTTTATCAGAAATCATCGGTTTTCAAGACCCCAGTGTACAAAAGTGCGACTAAATCCACACGCGCGCGTCGTCGCGCGCGCATGCCGGAATCCTTCAAAAGCCTCGGGTATCGTGGGGACTTCAAGATGAAGCTTCCCGACCACATGGAAAGCATCCATCGTTTTTTCAACATGGCGTGCGACAAAGAGAGCCGCACGCGCGCGCGTGTCGGGATCACTCGAAGTGCTGGCCTCATCCGAAAAGACCTCCGCCTCGATTTTGTCGAGACTCTGGGTGCCCTGGGACCCTGGGATTCTGGCGGCCAGCTGCTCGGGGCCCGGCGCTGCCCCTGGCCCTCCGGCCGACCCCTCGGGGGCAGCGACGGGCCGCCTTTCCCCATCGGACCGCCTGCCAAACCCTCCCAGCCAGGCCCGAGGACCCGAATTTCGGGTGGGGCTGAGCAAGTAATTACCGAGCGTCCTAGCATTCCTAATGGGCCTACCACGAAGTGTTGTTAGAACCCGAAAATGTTCGAAGAACAAAAACAACGTTCTCAGAACACAAACCAGATGCTCCCCGACGCCCACCCTTACTTGGAATGGGGGGGCATACGGATGCCTTCGGACTGGGTCGGGGTCGCTCGGTGAGAGGTGAGGCCCTCTTGAGCAGGGACCGACCGGCCCGGCACTTCTGTAGGCATACCACGGAATGCTTGTAGAACCCAAACATGCCCCAAGAACAAAAACCATGCTCTTAGAACATAACCCTGATGTGTGAAAACAAGACAGGCTCGGCCAGAAACGTTCTAAGAACATTTCGTGCAGACCACACTGACGAAAGGCTCTGAGAACATTCTCTGGTGGGCCTATATCGGGGATGGACAGACCTCCCTTTAGTAAAACGTGGTTTCGTGAAAACGACCTCGGGCCCAAACCTGGCGGGCGCAAGCCTGGAAACCAACGGCCGCGGCGCCCCCTCGAGAACCGAAGACGGACAATTCACTAGTCGACGTGTCACTGTTAGGAGGTCTGTCCACCCCCGACTATATATATATATATATATATATATATATATATATATCGGGAGCGGCCAAGAGGGGGGTGTCCAAGAGGGGAGGGTGCAAATCATGACCAGCGGCATGTGCGCGGCCCAGTGGGGGGGGCCAGGGACGCAAGGAAATAAGAGGAGGCGCCATGAAATCTGAGGAAAAACCATGGCCCGCGCCATGAAATCCCCCCCCCTAATCATCACCCCCCCTCTTTTCCGCTCCCGGATACAGGCGAGCCAGGACGCTTCGCCCCTGCTCGGCCCTCGGCCCCGCCCCGCGCGCGGCACGTGGGGACCTCCGGCTGCTCGGCCAGCCCGAGGCAGTCCTCGGGCGCGCCGCGCGGGCGCGCGCGCCCGCGCCGCACCGCGCCGCCGCCGAGCCCGGCCAGAAGACGGTCTTCTGGCCGGGCGCCCAGCCACTGGTTTGGACGCCCGAAATTAGAGGCCTCCTAGATGGGGCCGGAGTAGATGGGGTCGAAGGATCGCGATTCGTCGGGGTCGGAGTAGATGGGGTCGGAGTAGATGGGGTCGGAGTAGATGGGGTCGATACATCGACGATTCATCGGCGATGCATCGGCGATGCACTGGCGATGCATCGTCGACGTTGGCGATGCATTGGCGACGTCGACCTGAAGCACTGGTTTGGACGCCCGAAATTCGGGGATGGGCAGACCCCCCTTCAGTAAAACGTGGTTCAGTGAAAACGACCTGAGGCCCAAACCTGGCGGGCGCAGGCCTGGAAAATAACGGCCACGGCGCCCTCTCGAGAACCGAAAACGGACAATTCACTAATCGACGTGTCACTTTTGGGGGTTCTGTCCACCCCCGAGAAATGGGCACGGAAACAATGGGCACAATGCCCAACAACAAGTGTTGTCCTTCACCAACAGCGGCCGCTGTTGGGCAGGCGGCCCTCTGTCTCGAATGGACACAGGCCGCGGCGGCGCGGACAGCGGGTCCTATTGAAAATGAACAGGAGCTGCTGTTGAGCATTGTGCCCATTCTTTCCGTACCCATTTCGGGCGTCCAGAACTGGGCGGTGCGCCCCCGGGGGGACGCTCGGGGCTCGAAGTGCGAGGTCCTCGGGCGGTGTCTCGGCAACTCCAAGGGGTGTGGTTTGCAAAGGGTGTGGTCTGCTACTGGCACCCTGGGGAACATCCTGGGGGGCAACCTAGGGGGCGCGCGGGGAGACCTCGATAGAGTTCCCCCGCGCCCCGAGGAGGCTGGACGAGGACAGTGTCGTGCCCCCCCAGGCCCCAAGGGCCTAAGGGTGCCGATCGCAAACCACACCCCGGCGTAACCATGCCCTTTGTATTGGGAACCCCCAAACCGGGTGGTGAGATACCAGGTGGCGACCTGGAATCCCCAAAAAGGTCACCGCTGGGTTTGGGGACGCGGGGTCACCGCCGGGTTTTGTGACTCCTGGACCCACCAACGTTCGGGACATCCTCGGAAAACCGCACGAGTCCCCAAACCGGGTGGTGACACCAAATCGCCTGAGACTCACCGCCAGGTGTTGTCACCACCACGTTTGGGGACTACCAATTGTAGTCGCCGAGTTCCGTCGGCTCTCGGCGGTTTACCAGCCCCGGGATGCGCTCCTGCGGCTACGCCTCGCCGAAGGCGTTCCGGGGGTGCCCAGATCCTCCCGAACGGCCAGTGGAGAGCCGAGCTGTGACCGGAAAACCACCAGGCTTCCGTGCGGGGGCAGGCCTTCTCAGAGCTTCTTGGACCCCCTCCGGCCTGCCGAGAAGCCGTCTGTCTTCTGAGGCGAGGCGAGGCAAGGCGAGGCGAAGGCCGGCGTGCGGAAGTCCGCGCCCGTGGAGGGCTGCCGGGCACTGGACAGAAATAACACAGATCATCGCAACCTTGGAAAACTCCTCGAAACGCCAGAGGCCTGTCGAGCCTTCTCAGGAGGCCTGTCGAGCCCCCTCTGACTTCCCCCACCTGGGATCGCCACCGAGAAACAGTCCAGAGCACCTACCACCGAAAACTCCTGGTGATGCTCTGGCCGGACCGGTCGCGGCCGAAGTGCGGCCTCTGGTCGCGAATTCCGGTAACGAGCGAGCCGTCGACGCGTTCAAACCCTCGCCCGGACCCCGACGCGCCACCTCTCTTGCAACCGCAGTTCGACCCCCTCCGGTCGCGGCCGACACCAGGCGCGACTGACATCGATTCCCGACAAGGTCTGGTCGCGCAGGGTCTGGGAGCGGCCCCTGAGGCCGTCGTCGCCGTCTTCTGCGGCGTCTCACGAGAGTCTTCCATGTCATCTTTCTGGCTCTTGCGAATCGACGGTGAGCGACGCTCATCGACGCTGCATCGACGCTGATTCGACGCAAATCCGTGCTCCATGCTGAACTGGCGCCTTCTCATCGATTCCCAGACGCCTGCGCACGCTAATACGCTCTGAAGACGGCATTCCGAATACTACATGCAAGGCTCCCATCCGTATCAGCGCCGACCGTATCCGTATCAACGCCCTCGATTCTGGGGCGCGATCCCCCGGATACGCGGGCTCGCCGCCCAGGGGCCCTGCCCGCGAGGCCGCGGATACGGATATGCTTCTCGCGCACGAGCTACCGAAGCCGCTGTCGTCGTCGTCGTCGTCGTCGTCGTCGTCCTCGTCGTAGCCTATCGTCGATAGAGACCCCCTAAGGTGAGGTCCGAGTAGACGGGGCAGGGGGATTGCGCCGCATCCCCGATGCAACGCCGATGCAGCGCCGATGCTTCGGCGATGCTTCGGCGATGCATCAGCGATGCCTGGCGATGCATCGGCGATGCATCGGCGCCATCGGCGCGGAGAAGTTCTGGCTCTACATCGAGCCTCGTCGTCGATGCATCAGCGACGCGGATAGACCCTCCGACCCCATCTGCTCGGACCCCGCCTCGGAGGCCCAGATGCAAGGCTCCAATGAGCTGTTACCGAAATCAACGCCGCCGCCGTCGTCGCCGCCGCCGTCGCCGTCGTCGCCGCCGTCGTCGTCGTCGTCGCCGCCGTCGTCGCCGTCGTCGTCGCCGTTGGCGCCATCGTCGTCGTCGTCGTCGTCGTCGTCGTCGCCGTCGTCGTCGTCGTCGTCGCCGTCGGCACCATCGTCGAGGGGCGTCCGATCGGCGCGGGCCTCGGGCCTCGGGCCTCGGGCCTCGGGCCTCGGGCCCGGAGGAGGAGGAGGGAGGAGGAGGAGGAGGAGGAGGAGGGAGTGAGAGGCAAACTTCGCACGAGGCAGGCGGGTCCCGAGGGGCAACCGGCCCCGGACCCGGCAGGCGGGGTGGGCTGAAGGGAATCGGGGAGCAAGGGGCGCAGGAGGGAGGCAGGGAGGGACTCCAGAGGTCGTCGTCGTCGTCGCCACGTCGCCGTCGCCACCGCCACTCGGATCGGACGATCCACGTCGAACGTCGAATATTTGCGTCGGATCGCATATAACGTCGAATCCGCGTCGAGTCCTTGTCGAGTCCGCGTCGAATATGCGTCGAAACGCGTTGGGCTCAAGGCAAGACATCACCTTGAGACAGACAAGTCCCCCCGAAGGTGCGCCGTGACCCGCCCCAAAGTTAGCAGATCCTGGCGCTTCTTGCGTCGGAGGTAGGAGCAAGGAAAAACGGCAACATCATCACCAGCGCGAGAAACCAGAAGGAGTCCTTCTGGTGGTGACCCCCCCCCTCACCCGCTCGAGACATCCCCTATCCAGCTCGGGGAGGTTTCGTGGACCTCCTCTGAGGGGAAACGATGGAGGGGGACCAATCAGGAAGAGAACGCATCGACCTGCAATCGGAGATGCATCGCCGATAGATCGGCGAGAGGCCCGCGATAAGGGAAACTAGACGTGCGTGGGCAGGATGGTGCTGTCCTGTCGGGCTACTATCGGCCATCAATGCGCGAATGGGGGTCGATGCATCCCCCCTGAGCTTATCCCCCCCTTCACATTGCCCCCGGCCCATCCCCAGCTCGGGGATGCGCCGAGGACCCCCGCGACAAAAACGGCCACAGCCGCCGCCAAAGTGCTGATGTCGAGGTCGGTGGATTCTCCCCCGAGGCGAGCCCTCCAGAACAGTCTGGCTGTGGTGCGTTGCTATGTCTGGAGGGCAGCCGTCGCATTGCCCATGCGGCTTGGAGGTCGAGAGCAAGTTTGTGTCCACCATGGTCAAGCCCCGGATGCAACTACCAGCTTCCCAACTGATGCGGGGATAGGGGAGGGGACTCCACCACGCCAGAACAGGCCGACGAAAGAGCAGGCCGAAGACAGAACAGGCCGAGGTCGAGCCACAGAGAAGGCTGTGCACAACCTCCAATGCAGAATACGTTGTTTCAGCAATCCCCGTGCACGACGCGGCGAGAAGCGAACTGCCAGCGGATAAACGCCGATATAAGGATACTGACGGACTGCGCTGACGGTTCACGTATGATGAGAGCTCGGCTACACTGGCTGTAAAAAGAAAAGTACGGGCGCACGATCTGCTGCCCACGCAAACATCACCTCCGATACTCGTCGCCGACGGCAACCTTTCACTCGCGCGTCAGACCCGCACCCCGATTCACTGAAGCTCAAGGGACACTCTGCCTCAGATGGGTTCTGCCATCGCCCCGTGCTCTACTTATGCGAATGAAGTGTGGGAGTGATTTCAAGACAGGCATTGACGCTGATTCGCAAACACTACTGAGCAATGGTAGACGTCACAGCCCAGAAAAGACGACAACTCGTGCTGAAAATGGCGCACGCCTGCGGTCGGACCTGGGGCAGAAGAGCATCATCCAAGAGCACGGGACCCTCCGCTGGCGAAACCGAAGGACGTTCGAGGGCGCCCTTCCCCAGGATGCGCAGGAACATCCAGCAACCACGCAGAACAGTAGGCTATACCTCGGCCCGGCCGCACCCACAGCACCCACCTCTGCCTGCTTCCCTTCTGCCCCATCCAGCTCCGCAGGAGTCCTTGGCGACCTTGGAGCCCTGCAGGTGGCCGACGCTGATCGTGCGACCTCCCCCCCTGCGCCATGGCGTGCACCTCCAGCACTGACACGACGCAGCCGGGGTGCAGCACGGTGGAGGCCAGTCCACCAGAAACCTTCAGCAGGAAACCCAGCCCTGAGACCCCGGGGCGTCCATGGATCTTTCGCGTGGGAACGTCACGCTGTCCACAGCAAAGCCATCGAAGCTCAAAAAACCACCCAGGGCACCCAGGAGGCGAGCAGGGTGCTTCTCGGCATGGGCCTCGACTGTACACCGCGAGGATATCCGGCGCTGCGCTGCTCCCGTACACCGACGGACCCGCACGGTGGACGCCAGAGGGGGTCCCCATCGGGGGGGGGGAAGCTTGGAACGCGTCTTTTTTACCGCTCGCGAGACAATCGGGGCTGATTGGGGAGGACACGCGCGAGGACACCAAACCCTTCCGAGGGCCACATTGCCATAGGCTATAGGATTGTAAAGAAGGAGCGGGCCGCAAAGCTCAGGACACAAGGGCACCCTTAATTTGGCAGGGTCGACCTACCCATCAGCTTCGACTCTAACGGCCGTGACTGGGGATGCTCCCCTCCCCTCTCCCTTACCTGGTAATGTCACGGTTCGCGCCGGCGCCGCTGGGGGATTGCCGGGGGTTGCTGAGATTCCCAGACGGCGCCGACGCGAATCGTGACGTCACCAGCCCCTCCCCCCCCGCCCTCCCTGGAAACGGTCGCTATCGCCAGGGAAACTGAATAATCGGGCCCCTGCAATCCACTTGCGTAGGCCTTGACGACTTCTCTCCAGTGGACTTGCGAGGGCACAAAACGAAACAAATTGAGACTGACCGCTGTTTTTTGTTGAAAGCCAAAAAAAGATCGAACGCGGCAGATCTGGACATCCCCAGAAATCTGGAACGTCGTGGAAGACCTACGTACCCGCGAACCACGGCACTGGAACAAAAAGTCCATGCGCCCTTCGCGAGAGATGACCCGGCACGACCCGCCCCCCTCGACGGCAGCGCGCGCGGCATCGGAGGGGCAACGACGGGGGGGGGACTGGGTCGGCGATGTGATGCGCAGATTTGCCACCACCGCTATCATAGGCAGGAAAGGGAGGAGGAGGAGGAGGAGGAGGAGAAGGAGGAGGAGGCGGAGAAAGATGAGGAGGAGGAGGTGGAGAAGGAGGAGAAAAAGAAGGAGGAGGAACGAGGAACAAGCTCAAGAGGCAGCGTCTGCTCACAGGCACAGCTCTAGAAAGAGAGAAGCAGCCGGGCGGACTCGTCGCCTCCCACGCGCCCGCCCACCGCAGAAGGGGTACGCCCTGGCAGACGACGAGCCCGCCCAGCGGGCAGGAGCTCAGACGAGCTCGCCATGGAGGCCCCCCACGCCAGGGACGACGAGGAAGGAACCCAAGTGCGCGCCGACGTCGAGCACCGCGCTGCGCGGGAGGGCCTCCGTCCCTCGGCGGCTCGACCCTCTCTGACTTCCTACCAGACCACCCCCCCCAACCCAACCCGAAGACCCGAATTTCGGGTTGGGGGGGGTAAGGGTTCCACACGAGATTTTTCAAAGTTTCCCGACCCCCCCCCCCACTGGAAATCGAGGGTAAATCTGAGCCTTCGGGTTGGGTCGGGGTGGTTTGGTGGGTGGTGACTCTCCTCCACGCGGCGGCAGAGCTCCTCGAGGGCCGCCCCGAGCCCGTCGGGGCCGGTGGGGATCGAGCCCCCGTCGGCTGGCAGGCCGAAGCTCCCGCGGAGGGAGAGGCGGCGCGCGCTCGCGGTCGGAGCGGCGCAGGTCGCCCTCTTGCCCTTGCCGCCGCCCTCGTCCCTGCCGTCGCCCCGCGCCGGAGGGCGGGCCGCGAGCGGCGGTTTCCGCAGCGGCCTGCACCACCACGGGAAGCTCGTCGGCCCAGGCGTCGTCGATGGAGGAGGAGGAGGAGGAGGAGGAGGGGGAGGAGGAGGGGGAGGAGGAGGAGGAGGAGGAGGAGGAGGAGGAGGAGGAGGAGGAGGAGGAGGAGGAGGAAGCGGAGGAGCAGCGTCGGCACGGGCAGCGCGGCCGCCGGCCTGCGCCGCGCCTCCCGCCGCCCCCGCCTCCGTCCTTGTGCCGTCGGCGCCGAGGCCGTGCACGGCCACCCCCGCCGCTCCCGTCGCTGCGCCGCGGCCGCGCGGCCGACGCCGCCGCCTCTGAGTGGTAGCCGCGGGCTCCGCTGACGGCGCCGCCGCGGGCGCAGGTGTGTAGGGCTTGGCCAGCACGGCCACCGCCGTGTGCAGAGACCTCCAGCGGCGCGTGCGAGACTCGCAGCATCTCGGAGCCCAGCGCTGCTGGCGAGCCCAGCAGCAGCGTGCACCGCCAGGGCCGCGCCCCGCGCGGCCTCCAGCGTCGCAGCAGCGCGGGCGTCCGTCATCGGCGGCATCGGCGACACGGCGGGAAGGATGAGGAGGGAAAAGGGGAGCTCCCAGGGGGATGCCTCGCTGAGGTGCACTGAAATCCGCCTGGACGTCGCTTGCGGCGCCGCGGGCCAGGGGGTCGGCGCCCTGTCGGGCCTGGGGCGGTACCCCTGGACCAGCTGGGGTGGTCCCTCAAAATGGCCAGGTCTGCCGTCTCACGTCCCACAGGGTTCCGGCCTCTGGGTCCCCCGAGGGCACCCGTCCCTGGGTCGGCCCAATCCCGTTCTTCGCGATGGGTGCACGTCGGCCTGTACGGTACCTGCCTGGATTGGGGGCAGGCTCTGGCCACTTTTGTCGCCTGCCCGTCACGTTGCGATGTCAGGTGTGGTCAGGGGGGTCGGCCCTTTTGGGCACGGCTCAGAGACGTGGTCCCACCTGGCCCCCCTTGGGCGTAAGGGTCTTGCGGGGGTGGGCCTGGTTACCCATGCGCGGAAACACGCGCCCTGCACCCCGCACGGCGACATGTGACCTGTGCCCCCTGGTGCTTGCAGAGCCAGGGAGGCATGGGGGCCGCCCGCCTTCGGCGGGCTGGTGGTGCTCATCACGATCTACGTGGTGAGCTTGGCGCCTATGTTCTTCTTCCTCTCGTCGTCGTCCTTCTCCCCCCCTCGGGCCCCGTCAGGAGGACGGGGGAGGAGGAGGAGGGAGGAGGGAGGAGGGAGGAGGAGGGAGGAGGGAGGAGGGAGGAGGGGGGAGGAGGGAGGAGGGAGGAGGGAGGAGGGAGGAGGGAGGAGGGAGGGAGTGGCACCTAGCTCTGGGGGGTCCCGTGGTGTCGGGATCGCGGGGCTGGGCGTCTGGCTCCGCCCCCCCCCCCCAGGGGGCGTGTCGGACTCACGATGCGCTTTGGCTGTGCCGAGGAAGGGGGGGGAGAGGGGGAGGGGGAGGAGGAGGAAAAGGAGGAGGAGGAGGAGGAGCAGGAGGAGTAGGAGGAGGAGAAGGACCAGTGTAAACCCAAGAGTCATCAACGATGATGGAATACACCCTCCATCCAAGTTTTCTCTTCATAGGCCCCTATAAGCGGGAACTGCCTCGTTGGAAGGCAACCGTTTGAAAACCTTGAGGCATGCCAAAACATTGTTGTCGGGATTCAAACGCCACGGATCAACCTGATTGTTGCGTCTTGACGATCTTGAACGGTGCCAGAGCGCCATTCTTGGGACTTCAACACTGGGAATCAACGTAACTGGCACAACGCTATTTCAGGTGCGCTGATCATGGGAAACCGTGAAACGCTTGCACATTGTAAAGACGGATGTGCGCGAGAACCACAATTTGAAAAAGAACCGCCCTCAATCCGTGAAACTCTTGCAAATGTTTGAAAGAAATGTGCGCGGCACTGTGGAGAGAAACGCATGTTCAAAACGACTTGCCCTCAATCCGTGAACCTATTGTTGTTAAACAGAACATGCGCGGCGCTGAGGCCAGGGCCACATGTTGAAAACCACTCGCCCTCAATCCATCAAATTCGTGCAGCGAAACGCCCGGGCCGCCCGAAACACTTGCCTCGGCGTGCGACAGGGACAAATTAGTTATGAGGAAAAGGAATGGAGGAGGAGGAGGAGGAGGAGGAGGAGGACCACCTCATCCTCCCTTCTCCCCCTTCCTACCCACAGTAGCCAGTGGTGGTGGAACTGAGCCGTCGGCCGATGATCACCAGAACGCCAACCGTGTGCTCGCCCACCGAAGCACTGCAAATCCGACGCAGGCGGTGTTCGGCGGCGAGCGAGGGGGGGGAGGAAGAGGAGGAGGAGGAGGAGGAGGAGGAGGAGGAGGAGGAGGAGGAGGAGGAGGAGGAGGAGGAGGAGGAGAAGGCTCGGAAGCCCGCCCGGCCTTCTGAGACGTCTCCTGAGCCTTCCCCGTAAACGCAGAAACCTTCTCAGGAAGCGCGATGGCTTCTGGGAAGTCCCGCCGCCTTCTGAGAAGGCCTTCTCCTTCTCACTCCCCCGCCCTCGCTCGCCGCCGAGGTGTGCGGAGGGCTGACCCGGGCCTCACACTGCCCGTGGAGCCGAACGGGGCCCTGTTGACGGCCCCAGGCGCCCAGCGTCAGGTCGGGCGTCCCCCCCCCCCACAGGCGGATTTGGACGAACCGTAAAAAATATGGAATCATCGACAAAGGCTCCACGAATGCAAACAAAAATACTAAACAAATCGTTCCCTGACGATTTTCTTAAACTATGTTTTAATATTTTGAGCAGGGACCGACCGTCCCGGCATTCCTAGAGTCCTACCACGAAGTGTCCTTAGAAGCCAACAATGTTCGAAGAACACAAACAATGCTCTTAGAACATAAACCCGATGCGCTAAAACAAGGCAGCTCCAGACAGAAATGTTCTACCATCTCGTGGAAACCACAACACAAATTCTTAGAACATTGTTTGGTCGGGCTATAGGCGAGCCAGGACGCTTCGCCACTGCTTGATAAGGGGAAAGGGGGACTGAAGTGGTTGCTGAGGTGGCTCATATCTGGCCTGCCCTGGCTTATAAGTGGGCTACAATGGACGTAGAACGAACGCCGTAAGCATAAGCTCTTGGCGCTCCGCGCGGATGTCTCGGGTCTGCGCCGGACCCCCCTCCCTGGCGCGCGGAGCGCGCCAGGGGGCGCGCGCTTGGGGCACCGCTCGGGGGGCCCAGCGCGGATCCAACAGATCCCCGCGGAGCGTGCAAAGCTTATGCTTAGGTCGGGTCGGGCGAAAGGGGGGGATTGCAAAGGGGGGGTTTGAGAAAGGGATAGCAAAGGGGGGGGATAGCAAAGGGGGGATTTTCCCGGCGCCTCCTGGCGCCGGAGGCGGCTATGTATCGAGGAATGGGCCCCTCGGTGAGGATGGAACCAGCTGCGTGCAGCAAATTTCGTTACCCCCCCTCTCCCAATCCCTCCCTTTCGCCCGGCCCGATTAGGGCGCCAGGACGCTTCGCGACTGCTCGAATTTCCCCCCTGCGGAGGCACAGGCCCGACCTGTCTCAGGAGGGAACACACGCAGACATGATTGATCGTCGATCCCCCAGAAAAGATGGGAAACTATGGGAAGTGGGGGGGAGGACAAAAACCCAGAAAAGATGGGAAAATATGGGGAATCTTTTTATTTGTGTGTATTCCGACGTTGGGGCTTCTTGGGCCGTCTTGGGGCCCTTTGGGGCCGTCTTGGGGGCTTCTTGGGCCGTCATGGGGCCTCTTGGGCGATCTTGGGGCGACCCTGGGCGCCTCTTGGGCCGTCTTGGGGCCCTCGTGTGGGCCTCTGGGGCCGTCTTGGGGTGAACCCGGGGAGCCTCGTGGGCTGTCGTGGAGCGTCGGGAAGCCGACACGGCGAGAAAATGTGCGTCCCCGGGCCCCTTCATTGCGAGTCCAGCGAGGGCCGCCGGAGGCCGACGGCGGGCCGACGCCCGCCGCCGGCGGCTCTGGCCCTCCCCTGCCCACGGCGCGAGGGGGAGGCCGGGGGCAGGCCACGAGGACCCTCTCGAGCCAGGGCCGACGACCCGAGGCAGAGGAGGAGGAGGAGGAGGAGGAGGAGGAGGAGGAGGAGGAGGAGGAGGAGGAGGAGGAGGAGGAGGCGGAGGCGGAGGCGGAGGAGGGAGGAGGGAGGAGGGAGGAGGCGGAGGAGGAGGAGGAGGAGGAGGAGGAGGAGGAGGAGGAGGAGGAGGAGGAGAGGGAGGAGGAGAGGGAGGAGGAGGAGAGGAGGCAGAGGAGAGGGAGGAGGAGGAGGAGGAGGAGGAGGAGGAGGAGGAGGAGGAGGAGGCGGAGGAGGAGGAGGAGGAGGCGGAGGCGGCGGAGGCGGAGGAGGAGGAGGAGGAGGAGGAGGAGGAGGCGGAGGCGGAGGCGGAGGCGGAGGAGGAGGAGGAGGAGGAGGCAGAGGAGGAGGAGGGGGAGGAGGAGGAGGAGGAGGAGGAGGAGGAGGAGGAGGAGGAGGAGGAGGATGAGGAGCCAGGGCCGGCGACCCCCGTGGCCCGTGCTTCTGGGGGAACGAAAGGGGGGGGGGGCAGCAAAGCGCAGGGTAGAGTCGGACTCGATTGGGCAGGACAGGCGAGCGGACACAAGACCCTTCCGAGGGCCACATTGCCGCAGGAATGTAGGAAGCATGGGTCGCGAGATACAGGACACAAGGGTACCCTTGATTTGGCAGGGTCGACCTACTAATCTGGGCCGACTGTAGAGAATCAGCTCACGCAGCTGCTCTTTCCAGCGCCTCCCGGCGCCGGGAGGCGTCCACGCATCGAGGCATGGGCCTGGCGGCGGGGTCGAAGCCAGCTGCATGCAGCAGACTTCGTGGCCCCCCCTTTCCCTCCCCCCCTTTCGTTCGGCCCGAAGGCTCCGCGGGACGAGGCGCAGCCCTCCCACGACGGGGGCCCTCCCCTCGCGGGGCCGTCGTCGGTCGGGGGGCTGGCGGTCTCTGGGGAGCCCGGGTCGGTCACCTGCGGCGGGCGCCCCGGTTTCGGCAGCCGCAGCAGGGCGGGGATGAAGAGCGTCGGGAGAGGGGGGGGCGACGTGCACTCAGACCTGCAGGGAAAGAAGGACAGGGCAAAGGGGCAGGGAGATGAGGGCGCTGTGGGTGCGGGTTGTCGGACCCCGAGGGGGGCTCCCCCTCGACGGCCTCCCGCAGAGCCGTCCGTGGATGCGGGGGCGGCGTGGAGAGCTCCTCAGAGGCCAGAGGCCCTCTGGGCCTGGACGCGCCGCCGCGAGGGAGTCGAGTGAAGGCGGAGGACACGAAGCACCGAACGCTCCCGCTGCTCGGAGCGATCCCCACCAGGTAGCTGCTGCGCATGTGTTCGCGGCGCCTGTCTGTTTCGCGTGCCTGCGCTGCGGCGTGAATCAAAACCGATGATGTCGGCTCTTTGCGCGTGCCCTCGATGCTTGCGGTCCCTCTGTGCGTCTGCCCTCACCCTCAAATGCGCCGTTGGGTGCGAGTCCTGCAGCCGCAGCGCCGCGCTCCACCTCACGCCCAGCTCCCCCATCACCTCTCTGCCTCTGCTCTCCGCATGTCTACCTCGGCACACCCCTCACTCAGATCGTGCTCCACAGGGAGCTCCGCCAAAGGCCCCAGTGGGTGCATTCACATGGTGTCCCCGCCCAGAGTCCGGCACGCCATTCACACGAATCATGCGGGAGCTCCACATATGGCCCCACCAATGGTTGCGTTCGCATGGCGCCGCCGCGCCCATCTCGGCTCAACGCTCAAGCGAACCGTACCCCCACAGCGAGCTCCACTGACGGCCCCAATGGGTGCGTTCGCACAACGCCCCCGCGCCCATGCCGCCACAACCCTGACATGGATCGTACCCCACAGGGAGCTCCACCCATGGCCTCGGTGGGCGCGTTCGCATGGCGGGCCTGCGCAAATTTCGGGACACCCCTGACGTAGATCGTGCCCCATGGGGAGCTCCAACTACGGCCGTCCCCCACCCGGTTGGGGCGTTTCAATGCGTCCCCCTGCCCGTTCGCTCACACTCCTCGCGCGGATCGCGGCCCATGTGCATCCCGACGCGTAGGATATATGGAAATACCTGTGCACTCTTCGGGGTGGCTCCTCCGCCAGTCCTCTGCTCGCCTTCTTCTACACCATAACCTACAGTCATCGGCCTGACTTAAGGAACAATCAACAAGGAATGAGGCCTTCTTTAGGCAGTAACGCACAAGGAACGATACATCATACATAACGCATAAGGAGCGATCAGTAACTTGCGAACCTAAGGAACGACCGAGCCCCTTTTCAAAAAAATAAGTCTTCCGTATTCAAGCTGCTCACTGTACTTCGTTCTCCGCAAGGTTCATCCTCTGGATCGCCAGGATCAAGCCTCACGTGCGCCGAGACGTACAGCCAGGACAACTGCCTGTACACATTCGCCCTCTGGTCGTGTGCCTTGCAAGATGAACCGCACGCGGTGCGGCCTGCGAACGTGCAGCGTTGAGCTTCCACGGCTATGCCACGGCGGCGCCTCCCCACAGGGATCAGCAGTGAGGTGTTTCCGCGGCCTCGCGGGCCCCGCCCAGGGTCTGGTGAGCGATCGCGCGGGGTCCTCCGAGCACGCGACTGGCGCCCGACGGAGGAAGCCAGAATTCTAGAGTTGTTCCGCGTGGTGTCTGGAATGTATTTCTTCGTTCTAGGAGTAACCGTGGCGTTCTAGAATTAGTTTGCGTCTGAATTCGCTCGTACCTACCGCTTCGCCCAAAGGATAGGCCCCCCGACCTGGATCCACGGAGCGGCCCAAAGTGATTATAGTTCTAGCGTCTTGACCGCACCCCTTGCGCCGTCTGCGCTGGCGAGACTGTGCCGCTGGAGGAACCACCGACGGGAGCACCAAAAGAGACGGACGAACATACGGCAGGTCCGTGTCGTGACGACCCTGGCGTTGGCTCCTGACACCGCGTCGATCGCTCAACCTTGAACGATCGGCGGCTTTCCGATCGCCCCGTCGTTCCCTGTAGGCCGACTCTCGCCATCGCTCGGACGTCCATTCCCTGCGTTTTTTGTCGGTTTCGAGCGTGGTTTTTTTTCCGCCAGATGATCAAGGATGCTCCTAGATGGTCCTCGCCGAGGGAGAAATGCACACGTCCGAGCGATGCCAAGGATTCTGGGCCACTGGCGGCGTTCCGCCTCGAACGCCCGCGGCGGGGTGGCGGCCGGCCGACACGGTGCGGAACCATACCACGACAGCGGCGAGCAGCGGGCGCCGGCGCCTCGGGCTCCGGGGCCGGGGACGCGAAGCACCACATCCTGGCGAGCAACTGCACACACAGCAGCACGTGTGGACAAGAATGTATACTTTTGAAGGGGCCCCAGGACACACAAATAAATACACACAAATAAAAAGATTCCCCCATATTTTCTCATATTTTCTGGGTTTTTGTCTTCCCCCCCACTTCGCATATGTCCCATTTTTTCCTGGGAGTCGACGATTCATTGTGTCCGTGTGTTTCTTTCCCTCCCGAAACACATGTGGACAAGAATGTATACTCTGGGCCTGCGACTGTAGAGCTGAGCGCTGACTTCGCCGCATGTGCTTCCTAAGGTGCTCCGAGAGAGGTCACAGGTCCGTCGGTGCAGTGCCCGGCGAGGAGTCACCGTCCTCATCGGCCAACCGCTCTGCCAGAAGCTGTAGTGGCAAGGGCGGCGGAGATGGGGGCGAGGTCGGCCCGCTCGCTGGGCCTCCAGCCTCGCTGCAGCATCGAAGGCGTCCAATTCCTCCACGACTTCGTTGGATAACTTCGGGCATTCGAAAAGCTTCGATGTGCATTTCGTGCGCCTCGGATCCGACAGGTGCGCAATCGCGCAAAGTCTTGAACTGAATACGGTCTTGCAGACCGGGCACATGCCAGACGAGTCGATATAGCATCGAGCATCGCATCTGCCGCCACCGTGCCTCGAGGCACGAAGTGGAGTTACCCGCAGGCTCCCATGTGTTTTCTGTTCAGTGTCCTCTATTTTAATACTCCAGGGACCGGAGCCCCACACTCTGACTCTTCGGGCTCCAATTAGCAAGGCGGCGCTCTGCTAATCTGTCTCAAAGCATACCGGCTCGCTGCTCCTCCCTTCATTCGCAGAGCGTTTCTCTGCAGATTTGGACAAGCGCGTCCCATTACTCGCAAGGTAACTACTCGCAGATGGCCCGGGTCCGCCGAAGGGGACGTTTGTTTTCCGAACACCGGCCAGGCACATTTTTTCCTGACGTTTGCGAGTTGTCACTTTGCGAGTGATTAGGCACTCGGTGATAATTGGCCTCAAAGCAGGGTTCCCCATCCTGCTCGGGCTCTGATTAGCATAGCGCCGCTCAAATTGGTCTCAGAGCATGTGCGCGTTCACTGCTCCTCCTCTCATTGGCAGGGCGCCGCTCTGCGAATTTGACTCAACGCATGCGCCCTCGCTGATCATGCTTTCTTCACCTGGGGGCCCCAAAACGGGCCAAGAGGGGCCCAAGACGGCCCAAGAGGGTCCGAGAGCGCTCCAAGACGCCCAAGACAGCCCCGGAGGCCGCACGGAAGCCCCAAGAGCGTTCCACGAGGGCCTACAAGAGGGCAACGACATGCAACAATCATGTATTTCCCTCGTGCCTTTCAATGCTTTTCGCGTTCTCGCGTTTTCGGGTTGCCGACGCTCCAAGATGGCCCCAAAGGCCCCCATGACCGCCCCAAGACGGCTCAAGAGGCCCCTCAGGGTGTCGGGGCCCCAACATCTCAAATTTCCTGGGCGTTCCCGCGGGCTCCTGGGCTGCCTCGCGCGACGCTTCCGGAGGCCAAAGGGGCCCCGACACGGACCAAGAGGGCCCCAGATGGTCCAAGAGGGCTCCAAGACAGCCCAAGAGCGCTCCAAGACGCCCTAGATGGCCCCAAGATGGCCCAAGAGGCTCCAAAGAAGCCCCAAGAGCGCGACCAAGAGGACACCCAAGAGGGCCCCAAAAGGCGACAATCATTGATCGTCCGTGTGGTTTCCAATGTTGTTCGCGTTCTCGGGCTTCCGACGCTCCAGGATGGCCCAAGAGGCACGCGAAACCGCCCCAAGACGGCCCAAGAGGCCCCCAAGAGGGTCCCGAGATGGTCCAAGAGGGCCCCAAAAGCGGCCCAAGAGGCGCCCAAGATCGCCCAAGAGGCGCCCAAAATCGCCCAAGGGGGCCCCAAAACGGCCCCAAGAGAGGCCCAAGAGTGGAACACAAACCGACGATTCGAGCGTTCTGCGCCAAGGGGCCTGAAGAGACTTGCCCGGACACAGAATACTTGGGCGACACAACCCGAAGGAAGGTGCCCAAGGTGCCTGCATGATGTACACGCAGTCGGAAATGGCAGCGCAGACACGCCCCGCGCGTTACATCTGCGCCGCCGTTGCGAAGCGCCTCGAAATGCCACCCCGAGACACGACCACCGGCACCGCCCCCACTTGGCCGCCGGCCTCAAACAGCGGAAACCCCACTGCTCGAGAACGTACGTTCCTGCGCCCCCCCCGTCGGGGGACCCCTTCGAAAAACCCCATCGGGCCTTTCAGGGGTGGCACGGCGGGCCCGCACATAGTGTGGTTGGCAAGCCACAGGGAAAAAGTCTCTCCCACAGCCCCGCCGGGCTGTGGTGACGATCGGGCTGCCAACCCGCCTGTTTTCCTGGGACGCCACGAGGGCACTCAGCGGCACATGTGCCCTTCAACCTTCCTCAAGAGACCCCCAAGCAAGCCCAAGAAACTCCTTGGAGGCCCCACGAGGCCCAAAAAGAGGCCCCATGAGGCCGCCAAACGGCTCCCAAGAGGCTCAAAACTACCTCCGAGTCCCCAAGAGGCCTCCCACGATATCCAAACGAACATCCAAGAGGCCCTGACCCACAACCCAAGCAAGGTGACGGGATGGGCCGAAGACCAATAAATCCGCCGCCCCCTGTCGATTCATCGTAGGGTTGCCTGGCTTGCTAGACGATTTCGGTTTTAGTTTTGGCTCTTTTCCAAAAGAACTCCCCCTGGGGCTTCGGCTCGTCCGGCCGGCCACCCGAAAGACCCGGTTGCAAACGGTCTTCCTTCCCCAGACGGCCCCAAAATGGCTTCCAAGACGGCTAAGATGGCCCCAATATGCCTCCAAGACGGCCCAAGATGCACGCAAGACTGCCTAAGATAGCCTCAAGATGGCCCACGACCGCCCAAGAGGCCCCCAAGAGGCCTCCCAGACGCTCTAAGAGCTTCTCCAGGAGGGCCCGAAGAGGCCAAAATCATTGATTGTCCTTATGTGTTTTTAAGGATTTGGGCATTTGCGTCGTTTCGGGGTTCCGACGGCCCAAGACGGCCCAAGAGGCCCCCAAGATCGCACCAAGATCGCCCAAGAGGCCTCCAAGAGCGCCCCATGACGGCCCAAGAGGCCTCCAAGACGGCCCGAAGAGAGCCCCAAGACGGCCCAAGAGGCCTCCAAGACGCCCAAGATGGCTTCCAAGACGGCTAATATGGCCCCAAGATGCATCCAAGACGGCCCAAGATGCACCAAAGAGGGCCTAAGATGGCCTCAAGATGGCCCACGACCGCCCGAGATGCCCCCAAGAGGCCTCCAAAAGGTCCTCCAGGAGGGCCCGAAGAGGCCAAAATCAATGATTTTCCTTTGGTTGTTGAAGGATGTTGGTATTTGCTTCTTTTTCGGCATTCCGACGGCCCAAGAGGCCCCCAAGACCGCCCACGAGGCCTCCAAGATGACCCCATGGCGGCCCAAGAGGTCTCCAAGACGGCCCCAAGACGGCCCAAGAGGCCTCCAAGACGCCCAAGATGACCTCCAAGACGGCTAAGATGACCCCAAGATACCTCCAAGACGGCCCAAGATGCACCCACGGCGGCCTAAGATGGCCGCAAGATTGCCCAAGACAGCCCAAGAGGCCCCCAAGAGGCCTCCAAGAGGGCCCAGAAGGCGTCCAGGAGGTCTTCCAGGAGGGCGCGAAGAGGCCAAACTCAGTGCTTATCCTTAGGTTTTGAAAGATTTTGGCTTTGCTTCTTCTCGGCATTCCGACGGCTCGAGACGGCACAAGAGGCCCCCAAGATCGCCCAAGAGGCCTCCAAGATGGCCCCATGGCGACCCAAGAGGCCTCCAAGACGGCCCCAAGAGGGCCCCAAATCGGCCCAAGAGGCCTCTAAGAACGCCTGATATGCCCCAAGGGGGCCCCAAGACGACCCAGACAGGCCCCTCCCAAAATGGCTCCAGGACGGCGTCTGGGCGATCCACGAAGGCCCCAGAAACCATAGCATCGGCTTCAGAAAGCCGCAGGACGGTCCCAAGAGGGCTCCAACACGGGGCAAGAAGGTTCCCAAAGGCTGTCCGGACGGCCCACGCGGGTGACGATTCAAACCGCCCAAGATTGCCTCCCGACAGCCCGATGGGCGTCCAAGACGTTTGAAAACGCGACCACGAGGCGCTCCAAGCAGGCCTCCAGAAGCAAAAACCGTCCCATTCCCTGGGGTAAATGTACATTTTCAGCAAATTCGCCTCTTGGGCTTCCACGAGGTCCGGTCCACAAAGGCCCAATAAATCTCCAAGATCGACCTCTCGCACTCCAGGAGACTCCCCAAACGGCTCCACGACGGCCTCCGGGCGCCCCACGAAGGCCCCAGAAACCATAGCAACGGCCCGGGGGAACGGCAGGACGGCCCCAAGAGGGCTCCAAAACGTATCTAGAGGTGCCTCACAGGCTGTCTGGACAGACCACGCGGGGGACGATTGCTGCCGCCCCAAGGGGTCGGCGGTGTGGCGTAAGCCAATGAATCCACGTCCGGAGGTGACGTGCTGAGCGGTAGCGTTTTTCGGCGAACGCCTTAATGCAACGTATCCCATGTGTCCAATGATTGCACAATCGATACATATTGTGTTTTGTTACAGTATTATGTCTCCCCCCCTAACCCCCCCCCTGGAGTCGCGCCACAGCGCCGTACCAAAAGTTGGCCCCCCTCATTCTGGACCCCAAACCTACAAAAACCTACGTAAAATCAACAATTTCGGCCTCTTCGGCCTCTATTGCGGAATTGATACATATTGTGTTTTGTTACATTATTATGTCTCCCCCCCTAACCCCCCCCTGGAGTCGCGCCACAGCGCCGTGCCAAAAGTTGGCCCCCCTCATTCTGGACCCCAAACCTACAAAAACCGATGTAAAATCAACAATTTCGGCCTCTTCGGCCTCTTGGGACTCCAAGAAGGCGTCAAGGGGGTTCCAGGATGGCCCCATGACGGCCCAAGACGGCCCAATACGGCCCCAAGACGGCCCCAGATGGTC